CTGTGGATTATTTCTCGTGACGAGTCGAAGCAATTATCTTGCAGAAAACAGGTCGCTAGTGCACAACATGTGATTAAGAGTCTAGAAGCTGCCTTCAGAACACGCAGTCGAAATGTGATTCATAGTGACACTGGAGTCCCCACTCAATCTATGGTTCCAAATGGCCGACCATTGCGGATCGCTAAACGACCACCAGTGTGGATGAAAATTATGTACATTTATACGAACTGATAAATAACATAATACCTCTGTTCCCTCTCTAATTGATTAAGGACAGCTGTGCTGTAGCGTGGAAAATAGCATTCTGAAGACCTTTTCAGAATCCTGAACTGCATGCGTCAGCCTAACAAAAGTGCCATCCATCACTTGATCTAGTCATCGGAATGTTTTGTTCTCTTATTATTATATTGAAAATTGCATTGTTTAGCATGCCATCCAGTCACTCATTATATTATGACGTTTATGCAAATGGTTGCAAACCTACTAAAAAGTTTTCCTCAACCAATTTTTATTAATGACCAGTTACTATAATATCTTTCTATATTACAGCTGTCATGTGTGGCTTCCTTCAATCTCCAGACAATGGAAATTTGATATCTGGATTACGGCTGTGTAACAGTGTTGCACAATACCGATGTGATTACGGCTACAAATTGAATGGATCAACCAGGAGACGTTGTCAGAGCAATGGCACGTGGACAGGAAACGAACCAGTTTGTGAACGTAAGGACACAAAGTATAGACTACACAGAGGTCCGTCTTCTTGTCAGCGTCTTTGATGTCAGTTAGTGTAACCGGCCGCCATGTTCCTAGCGAAATGCGCTAAGGAGAGGCCGTCACCTTCCTCGGAAACAGTCAAATTGATAGGCTTGTTTTAGACGTTCGGCGCAGCGCAGGGGGTGAATGCCTCCCATTCGCGTACTAACTTGCAGCCGGTAAGGGGGGTTTTGCCGAGTCCGACCTCTGTATTATCTATACTCTGTGGTTAGGCTGGCATAGAGTATACTGTAGCAAACAGATAATTATTTCTGACAACTGAATATCTAGCATACATGTCGTCTATAGCCACTACAAACGGCTTGGCTGCGGAGTTTTTCATACCCACGATATGTCTCTGTATATAAATCTGGCACTAAACTTACTAACGATCTTGAGCAGAAACGACAAAAAGGTAAGCTCCAGCCCACTATTTGGCCCCATTCTCTATTGAATAAATCATTCTCGGTATAACATTATTGCGAAATTTCAGGAACACAATGCTGTCTATAAAATAACTAAAATACAGCAAAATATATGTAAATTGTATGAAAATTTCCCTAAAAGTTTCTCTAATATAATGGTTTCCAATATATAAGCCTCCAATCCAGAGCCACTGGGAAAAATAAGCACGTAGAGGGCTGCTAAATAGAGGAAAATTAATATGGAATTAGTGTTTCAATTCAACGTACGGCTTGAGTCATTCAACGAGATGATGCCAAAAGGTCATTGTCTTCGCCATTGCAGGTTTGCATAAACATGGACAAATAACTTTTGCAGAGTTTTCGGACCTTACCTTGATTGACGATGTGTCGACTATGAGTAAGGATAATGTTTTTTTGACCAGTTCAATCCTTAAAGTGATCTATATACTATAGGGCCAGTAGATAGTTAATAGAACATAGAAATTTTTGGAGATGGTATTTTCGAAGTAAATTTCTATACTCTTTAATAGACCTAACGATTCGGCCCTGCGATACCGTTCCGGCGGTCTAACCAATTAAGCTACAGAATCTAGTTTCTGAGCATTACCACAGATTCCTGTATATACTACAAATACATGCATGCAGCAAATCCCTCCGCTTTGTTTTCCAAACATTGGTTTAACATGAAGTATTAGTAATCCTTGGGTTTACAACGGTTTTCACGATTTCTCACAGTAAATCAATTCTTCTCATTTCTTCAAACAAAAATTGCTTCAAAGCTGTTGTGTGAAACGTGATTTTCCAAATATATATATGCTTTTGAAAATTGAAATCTTGCTTATCCACACTCCTGCATGGCAAACAGCCATGTTTTTGAGATCAGTGAGAATAGCCACCCACAGTTGGTCACTCACGCCCGCGATCATTGATGATCTTTCGACTTCGCCAATGGTTCCCTTTCTCGGGTGTAATTAGCTTGGCGGATTTAATACCCTCGCCCCGTGCTAACGTCAGGAATGGCGGTCCGCGCCGTTGGCTCGGGGAAAATGGCGTGTTGGCATTAGAAGGTATATGGTTAAATGTGGAATTTTCCATTGGTTCTCGTAGACGGAATTTTCGAACCCACAATTCTATGCACTTTTAGATCGCTGCTGCGGAATCGCAGGGCCGCAAGTTCGATTCTTGCGATAGGGCCTGTATATACTGTAGTTGCTTTTACGCCAACTGTTCCTGGTTAGGTCTAAACGTGTATAAAATTAACGTTCGAAGATTTTATCTAGGAAAGCCCATACCCTATTTGTTCTGCGAACACGATATCCAAAATCTTGATGTTTACCCACTGGAAAGTTAAAACTGTTTATTCTTACAGTAAAAAGCTGTCAAGATTCAGGCACGCCATGGAGAGGTAGCAAGAAAGGAAATCTACAAGTTGGACAAACACTCCACTTCTCGTGTGATCAGTGCTACCGCCTTCGAGGTAGCAATACTATGACATGTCAATCTGATCTAGAGTGGACCGGTCGTCGACCCACCTGCACAGGTGAGCTTCATGGTTTCAGTTTTGTGTTTTTAGTCTTGAGTTTTCAGTTTTCAGCACTTACCACTTTAGCGCCGAACGACTTCCATAAATTGACTGTGGCGAAGGCATGGCGGCTCTGTGAGACCCAATTAAGACCTCCAGTACAGTTCTTGTGAAAATGTGAAATCCTGGAAAACTAGTGAGGGGGTGCTATCTCTGGAATAATGATAAGAAATGTTATTGGTTTCTGAATTATATAGTCATTCTTCGAAACTTGTCTCAGAATGCGAAAAATGCTGTTTCAGAGAATACAGCTGAAATTCAAAATTTCGGGTTTTTTCGGGGAAAATTTCATTTTGCTTTCATCTTGTACCTTTAAGACTGGTACAGTATACAGTACATTTCTGTATGTCGGCGGGCCTTCAAATGCAGTGGCGAAGCCAGCTCTGAATAGTTTGTCCTGCTCCGAGCAGCGAAGGCGCGAGGCCTGCTCGGGGGATCCGGGGGCATGCCCCCCGGAAAATTTTGAAAATTAGAACCCCGGAAATGCAATGTCCTGCGATTTGGGAATTGAATTCTAAGCTCCAATTTGACCTCAAGAAGCGGCAAAACCTCGCAAATTTACCGTATTTTAGCCAAAAATTACAACTTGATCACCAATAAAAAAACCCGATTCAACACCATGTTTAATTTTGGACTGTTTCGCTCAATGTCAGAGCTCATCAGCATGCCTAAGAGTCACTGACAATTGATATTTGATAAAATTATTAATGTTCAGTGAATCCGACATGGACAGTCAAAGCCTGCCAACGCTTTTGTGTGTTTCTTAAAATTATATTTATAAACCACTGACATCGGTGAAAACTATGCAGTGATCCAGTGGAGTTACGTGTATATCTGAAAGTTGCAACTAACTTCCGACAAAGGGGCTTCGCTCAAAACGTCGAAGCTCTGCTTGTATTTTTCAGGTAGTTGTATCTCTATCATTCCTTATCTTATGCAGTGGGGTCACCACAATGAAGTGAGTATCTCCCCAAATAGTACTAGAAAATGTAATACTATATTTCTATGGAAGGAAAGTGTATAATATGCAGTGGGGTCACCACAATGAAGTGAGTATCTCCCCAAATAGTACTAGAAAATGTAATACTATATTTCTATGGAAGGAAAGTGTATAATATGCAGTGGGGTCACCACAATGAAGTGGGTATCTCCCCAAATAGTACTAGAAAATGTAATACTATATTTCTATGGAAAGAAGCAGTGGGGTCACCACAATGAAGTGGGTATCTCCGCAAATATTACTAGAAAATGTAATACTATATTTCTATGGAAGGCCACAAAGTGTATAATATGCAGTGGGGTCATTACAATGAAGTGGGTATCTCCCCAAATATTACTAGAAAATGTAATACTATATTTCTATGAAAGGAAAGTGTATAATATGCAGTGGGGTCACCACAATGAAGTGGGTATCTCCCCAAATAGTGCTAGAAAATGTAATATTAATTATATTTCTATGGATGGAAAGTGTATAATGTGCAGTGGGGTCACAACATTCATATTGACACCAGATATAACCCTATAATATTAATCTCGCTCTAGCTAGTTACTAATTTGGATACATGTATGGTATTAAACCAATGGTATATTATGTTTCTATTTTTTATTTATTTAAACTGAAAATTCAGTCTTTTAGGTTTTACTACAAATTTTGCTAAAACTAATTCATAGAGCTGCTTCTGATTTTCCTTTTCCTTTCAAAATATCTTTATGTGCTGAAATTCTACATAAAGAACCTAAACGCAAGTCAGTCATATAGTACTCCGGAGATAAGACTTAACTCTGCCCAATCATGAAAATGACCTTTCAGCAGATGCACTTGAAACTGCCATGACAGCATTCAGTTTCAACAATTTCACAATTTCTGGAAAGCAGGTTTGCACATTGACTTTATACATATACTTCAATAGCTCCATGGGGTTATCCTTATGGAAATCCTTATCTTTGTAAACAAAAGCCAGTTGATTTTGAAGGTTTGGAACATTAAACAAGGGTCCATACTTCTCAGTCAACTGTTGGATCTTATCAGCCGGGACAGTACCATCAACCCACTGTGGAATTATTTTTGGATTTACCAAATCAAAAAAACCAAAACACTCAACATCACGAAAACGATTCCCTGTCATAGCAACAATGTTGTCAATGACTTCAAAATAGAGGGATTTGTAGTTGATGGCTTGCTCGGACATTCTCGAAGGGGCACCACCAGCCCGTGTTAGAGCATCAGCATGACATCTCTCAAATGCAGCATCAGTACGCAAATCATCACAAAGATATTTGCTAAAATCATGTATTTTATCAACTGCATATGAAAAATGAACAGACCTATTTTGTAGAATATCATACAGAATGGATGGATGACTTTTGCAAAATTTTAAAATACAGCTCAAGTAAAAAGCAGAAAAGGAAAGATTCTAGACTATGAAGAAGGCTATCAGCTTTCTCAACTGTTTCATCAGACCAATTTTGGGGGTTATCAGTGATCTCAGTTAAAGCTATCTTTATCACATCAAAGCCTTAATGAGATATAGCCTTGACAGTTCTTGACTTGTAGTACCACCTTGTTTCTCCTGGATTAGGAATATCAACACCATGGGCATTGAAATGAGCCTTCCTATCAGAACTAGGCTTACTGAAAGTACAAAATGCAGATATCTTGGAGAAAAACAGTTTAACTTCCTTGATATTTAAGGCAGATTGGCAAAGTACTAGGTTTAGTCTATGTGCTGCACAATGGAAAAAGAAAGCAAAGGGGTAATCTTGACGAATCAAGGTTTGAAGACCATTAATATGACCACTCGTCACAGCAGCTCCATCATAGGTCTGCATTATGAGCTTAGATTTCAAGGAATCACCACATTTGTTTAAAACATTTTTAATGACCTCACTAAGGGCTGGGGCAGTTCGCCCTGCACTAACATTGTGAAATTTCAGAAACCGTTCCACAACTTCACAACCCTTATCTAGACGAACAATTACACAAAGCTGCTCCTTAGTCGATACATCTAATGTCTCGTCACATTGAATGCTTATGAACTGACACTCACTAATCTCTTTATCTATTTCATCCTGAATGATGTAATCTAAACATGCAATTAAATCATTTTGAACATCTGAAGATACACCAGTAACCCCCCACCCCCAAACTCTGGCCTTTCTGTGGCTTCCAGCTTACCATTTAAACGCCTATCAAAGACAGAATCCAATTTACAAAAAGATTGCAAGAGCTCTCTATAATTGCCCTTATTGAGGCTGGTGCTGGACTCCTCATGCCCCTGAATGCAAGTTCTTGTCTGGCTAAATACAGCACAGCTTCAGTCAAATTTTTCAACATTTCTCTATTTTGGCTCACTCCCTCATTGTACCTCTCTATAGCCTCCCTCCTTGCTCTGGAAAACAGCACATCTACACTCTCATGACTACCAACAGTAAAGGTTTTCCAAGTTTTATAACACTCCATATGCGCCCGGGCCCTCTCATGCTTTTGGCAGTCACTCAAGAAGCTATGCATATTAACATAGCCAGTATAGGTCCAAGTAGTTGACTTGGAGTTAAATAATAAACAAGGCCAACAAAAGAGGCTTTTCCTTACCTCATGCACTAGCACACAACCAGTCCTTTCTTGAATACCAAGACTCTTGAAAACTTCGTTTCCCAGTTTTCAAGAGAAGCTTTGGCATTGGACGTAGCATACAAGCTATAGCCTTTTGTTCACTTTGATTTCGCGAACTAAAAGACCTTTGTAAGAGATCCAAAATAACATCTCGTGTACTCTCACACGCACTTGGTTGAATCGCATTAATTTCCATATTCATAAAGTATTTCGCCACCGGAAGATGAATAATTCAGAAGAATATTCGAAGGTTTATCATTCGTCGAAGCTCGAGCAGGAGTAAAAGGCATATTTCAGCGTGTTTTGCATTCTTGAGAGCTGTTTTAGCCAATGAAATGCGTTAGAATTTTATGTTTGTCCTGCTCGCCTGAGTTGAGCAGGACTCAACTTCGGGCAAGCCACCCATTTTTCCTGCTTTTGCCTGCATGCAGGCAAAGTCTCGATACTCATTCAAAATAAGTTAAATAACGTTAATTTACATAATGAATTTCTCTGTTTAAGAATTTCTGCGCAACGTACTGAATTAACTATTAAGTTAAGAAAATGAAAGAACATATGCCAAGCTGGATAAAAGTGTTTTCTTTTAAAAATTATATGCGTAAAATATTCATTATCTGAGATTTTGTATGTCATGTTGAGCAGGACAAGCAGGACATCTGGCTTCGCCACTGTTCGAATGTGTTGTGGACTCCTGCCAACTCGTTTTTCTTCGATTTTCTTATTAATCTCGAACGCATATTGTTAATTAAAAACCTGAAATTTCAAATTCAGTCATTGATAGAAAACGTAGCTTCCAGCTTTAGAAAGCTTACGAAAAACTACGTATACGACATTTAAACGGTTGCCTTGAGTTTTCAAGCTCTTCTTGAGTTTTTAGCTTCTGAAAACGTGTTTTCAGACTAGTGCCCAGGACTAAGGCGTTTTGGCCTACTTTTCACATTTTGGAACAGCAATAAGTTTAACTCGAAGAACGCTTGAAAAATCAAGGTAATCGTTTAAATGTCTTATAGAGGATCCTGAAGGGGGGGTCCCAATCCCATTTCCCACCTGAAATTTTGGCAAAATCCCAGTCCCAGTTGGATTTTTATTAGAAATCCCAGTCCCAGTTATTGAAATCCCAGTCAATAAAAAAAGCCTTTATTTATCGGTAGAATAAACAGTTTTAAGACCTTTTAAGCAAGTGGCGCACACTTTATGAAATATTAAGGGGGGGGGCCTCGTGCCGAAGGCACGGAAAATTTTTAAATTTGAATCCCGCAAATGGTATTTGCAGCATTCTGGGACACGCATAATCAGAAAATCCAGAATTCCGGGCGCCAGAGTATGCCTGTTCGCAGGTAGTGCTGTGAATAATATAGTTAACAACAAAAATCATGACCAAATACACCAAAAACGGATCAAAATTGTATTTTAAAATACTCAAAACGCAGAAGAATTGGGAATCGACTCGCATTACCTCAATCCCATTCCCATTTTCGAGGACTTCATTTCCCATTCCCAGTTGCCAAATCCCAGTCCCAGCAACCCAAATCCCATTTTCCCAGTCTAAAAATAGATCAATCCCAGTTCCCATTTTACCCCTTCAGGGCCCTCCTTATAGGTAGGTTTTTGTAAGCTTTCTAACGCTGGAAGTAATTTTTTCTATTAATAGTTTTTTCCTGAAATTTCACGTTTTTAACAATGTAGAAGTTTAATAGGAAAATCGATGAAAAATGTGTTGGCAGGAGCCCATAAACAAGGAATTTGAACGCCGCCAGCATATAGAAATGTACTTACTAGCCTTAAAGCCACAAGATGAAGGCAAAATAGAATTGCATCTTGATCGGGTGAGTTTTTCCCTCCTATTTATCTAACTACATCTGGCAGTTGAGGAAAGTACTTTCTCAATTGTTGAAACGGTTTGGCAAGTAAATAATGTAACTAAGCATAATTAGCCTTAGCCTCCTCCGCAGGCCTCTCTATGGGTTCTAGAATTAGCCTTGATGTACTTGGTCACTGAAAAGCTCCGATGGGGAGTTAGCAGAATAATTTAATATATAATTTCTACACAGTAGTTTTGGTTACAAACAATTTTTTAAGTCGAAAAATATTTTCTGAATGACTTTTCTGAATTATGAAAATATTGCTCTAGGGGCACTTTGTTCGTCAATAGTCTGTAAAGTTAATAGGAAATGTACAGTAGAATTGAAGTACTGAACCGGACACTCATTTTTAGCTATATATATAAAGGGACATATATTTTTAATGGTTAATTGATTTTAATAAATTGGCATAAAAGCACTACATTTAGTGACAAGGATAATTAAACAGTATTTAGTCTTTCTTTATTATACAGACAAGAATGTCCGTGTGTTGAAGTGGCTTACCCGATTTGCCAGTTTTCGATGCTGTGAGTGAACCAGCAACATTGGCCCAAAGATGGCTAACATGGAAAGAGGAATTTGAATTATACGTTACGGCTTTGGGGATTAGCGAGCCACACAAAAAACGAGCTTTATTGCTTCGTCTTGCTGGGCATAAAGTGAGAGACATTTTCAAAAATTTGATTCCCAAAGAAATTCCAGGCGATGCAAAGGAGTTATAAAAAAACTCATGGAGTCCTGTCTGAACACTTTAAAATGGGAAAGAATGCCTCGAAGGCTCGACAAACGTTTGTAGCAGTGGAGCCCCATTAAGCAGGTCAAAAGTTTGAAACCTTTCGTGACTGTACTCGGGCAGACGTCAAGTCCTAGCTCCTTCAGCGAGAATTGAGAGATGGTTGTTATATTTGCAGCAATTCCAGTACGAGATCACATGTATACAGTACGAGGGACAGCCGGACAGGTAATATAGCAGATGTCGTAAGCCGCATACCTGTTGCTCCGATTGAAGGACGATGATTGCAGAGATATACCTATATGAATTCCCATACAGTGTGGCAAGTCAAGCGATGCCTGTTGTCTTGGCAGCCAAAGAAGTAGAGGCTATTTTAGCTGAGGATCTGACATTGCGACTGGTCCGCCAAGCCTTGACTACGGATGACTGGAGTGAGCTACTGGGCAAGAAGTTTACTAGACAGTAAAGGATGAATTGTCAACTCGTGATGTGCGGAGACCAAATAGTTATTTTCGTACATGTAGTATCCAAGGCATTGTTCTGACTAAAGCTACGTTACGTGAAAAGATGAACGGACAAACAAATAGAAGACGCCATACGTTCCTGTTATCCATGAGTCAACGCGTGGGTCCTATAGAGCTAAGCCAGAGCCTGTCAGGTCGACCGACTTACCCTAAGCTGCATGGCAAAAATAGCAATATATCTCCTAGAAATAAATAGCTGTAATCATCTTTTTGTTGTTGCTGTGGATTATTTCTCGTGACGAGTCGAAGCAATTATCTTGCAGAAAACAGGTCGCTAGTGCACAACATGTGATTAAGAGTCTAGAAGCTGCCTTCAGAACACGCAGTCGAAATGTGATTCATAGTGACACTGGAGTCCCCACTCAATCTATGGTTCCAAATGGCCGACCATTGCGGATCGCTAAACGACCACCAGTGTGGATGAAAATTATGTACATTTATACGAACTGATAAATAACATAATACCTCTGTTCCCTCTCTAATTGATTAAGGACAGCTGTGCTGTAGCGTGGAAAATAGCATTCTGAAGACCTTTTCAGAATCCTGAACTGCATGCGTCAGCCTAACAAAAGTGCCATCCATCACTTGATCTAGTCATCGGAATGTTTTGTTCTCTTATTATTATATTGAAAATTGCATTGTTTAGCATGCCATCCAGTCACTCATTATATTATGACGTTTATGCAAATGGTTGCAAACCTACTAAAAAGTTTTCCTCAACCAATTTTTATTAATGACCAGTTACTATAATATCTTTCTATATTACAGCTGTCATGTGTGGCTTCCTTCAATCTCCAGACAATGGAAATTTGATATCTGGATTACGGCTGTGTAACAGTGTTGCACAATACCGATGTGATTACGGCTACAAATTGAATGGATCAACCAGGAGACGTTGTCAGAGCAATGGCACGTGGACAGGAAACGAACCAGTTTGTGAACGTAAGGACACAAAGTATAGACTACACAGAGGTCCGTCTTCTTGTCAGCGTCTTTGATGTCAGTTAGTGTAACCGGCCGCCATGTTCCTAGCGAAATGCGCTAAGGAGAGGCCGTCACCTTCCTCGGAAACAGTCAAATTGATAGGCTTGTTTTAGACGTTCGGCGCAGCGCAGGGGGTGAATGCCTCCCATTCGCGTACTAACTTGCAGCCGGTAAGGGGGGTTTTGCCGAGTCCGACCTCTGTATTATCTATACTCTGTGGTTAGGCTGGCATAGAGTATACTGTAGCAAACAGATAATTATTTCTGACAACTGAATATCTAGCATACATGTCGTCTATAGCCACTACAAACGGCTTGGCTGCGGAGTTTTTCATACCCACGATATGTCTCTGTATATAAATCTGGCACTAAACTTACTAACGATCTTGAGCAGAAACGACAAAAAGGTAAGCTCCAGCCCACTATTTGGCCCCATTCTCTATTGAATAAATCATTCTCGGTATAACATTATTGCGAAATTTCAGGAACACAATGCTGTCTATAAAATAACTAAAATACAGCAAAATATATGTAAATTGTATGAAAATTTCCCTAAAAGTTTCTCTAATATAATGGTTTCCAATATATAAGCCTCCAATCCAGAGCCACTGGGAAAAATAAGCACGTAGAGGGCTGCTAAATAGAGGAAAATTAATATGGAATTAGTGTTTCAATTCAACGTACGGCTTGAGTCATTCAACGAGATGATGCCAAAAGGTCATTGTCTTCGCCATTGCAGGTTTGCATAAACATGGACAAATAACTTTTGCAGAGTTTTCGGACCTTACCTTGATTGACGATGTGTCGACTATGAGTAAGGATAATGTTTTTTTGACCAGTTCAATCCTTAAAGTGATCTATATACTATAGGGCCAGTAGATAGTTAATAGAACATAGAAATTTTTGGAGATGGTATTTTCGAAGTAAATTTCTATACTCTTTAATAGACCTAACGATTCGGCCCTGCGATACCGTTCCGGCGGTCTAACCAATTAAGCTACAGAATCTAGTTTCTGAGCATTACCACAGATTCCTGTATATACTACAAATACATGCATGCAGCAAATCCCTCCGCTTTGTTTTCCAAACATTGGTTTAACATGAAGTATTAGTAATCCTTGGGTTTACAACGGTTTTCACGATTTCTCACAGTAAATCAATTCTTCTCATTTCTTCAAACAAAAATTGCTTCAAAGCTGTTGTGTGAAACGTGATTTTCCAAATATATATATGCTTTTGAAAATTGAAATCTTGCTTATCCACACTCCTGCATGGCAAACAGCCATGTTTTTGAGATCAGTGAGAATAGCCACCCACAGTTGGTCACTCACGCCCGCGATCATTGATGATCTTTCGACTTCGCCAATGGTTCCCTTTCTCGGGTGTAATTAGCTTGGCGGATTTAATACCCTCGCCCCGTGCTAACGTCAGGAATGGCGGTCCGCGCCGTTGGCTCGGGGAAAATGGCGTGTTGGCATTAGAAGGTATATGGTTAAATGTGGAATTTTCCATTGGTTCTCGTAGACGGAATTTTCGAACCCACAATTCTATGCACTTTTAGATCGCTGCTGCGGAATCGCAGGGCCGCAAGTTCGATTCTTGCGATAGGGCCTGTATATACTGTAGTTGCTTTTACGCCAACTGTTCCTGGTTAGGTCTAAACGTGTGTAAAATTAACGTTCGAAAATTTTATCTAGGAAAGCCCATACCCTATTTGTTCTGCGAACACGATATCCAAAATCTTGATGTTTACCCACTGGAAAGTTAAAACTGTTTATTCTTACAGTAAAAAGCTGTCAAGATCCAGGCACGCCATGGAGAGGTAGCAAGAAAGGAAATCTACAAGTTGGACAAACACTCCACTTCTCGTGTGATCAGTGCTACCGCCTTCGAGGTAGCAATACTATGACATGTCAATCTGATCTAGAGTGGACCGGTCGTCGACCCACCTGCACAGGTGAGCTTCATGGTTTCAGTTTTGTGTTTTTAGTCTTGAGTTTTCAGTTTTCAGCACTTACCGCTTTAGCGCCGAACGACTTCCATAAATTGACTGTGGCGAAGGCATGGCGGCTCTGTGAGACCCAATCAAGACCTCCAGTACAGTTCTTGTGAAAATGTGAAATCCTGGAAAACTAGGTTTGGGGGTGCTATCTCTGGAATAATGATAAGAAATGTTATTGGTTTCTGAATTATATAGTCATTCTTCGTAACTTGCATGTCTCAGAATCCGAAAAATGCTGTTTCGGGGGAAATTTCATTTTGCTTTCATCTTGTACCTTTAAGACTGGTACAGTATACAGTACATTTCTGTATGTCGGCGGCCTTCAAATGTGTTGTGGACTCCTGCCAACTCGTTTTTCTTCGATTTTCTTATTAATCTCGAACGCATATTGTTAGTTAAAAACGTGAAATTTCAAGTTCAGTCATTGATAGAAAACTTAACTTGCAGCTTTAACCAACTAAACGTTTACCCTGTGAATAAATAACTCCAACCGTTGCGAATATTGAGATAACACAGGAGCTGGTTTGTCAAGAAATATCCAAACTTAAATGAAACAAGGCAACAGGCCCTGATGACATTAGTCCGAAACTGTTAAAGCTAGCTGGTGAATCTGTGGTGCCCTCGTTAACGTCCATTTTTAAAATCAGCGCACATACAAATTCAGTCCCAGATAAATGGAAGAATGCTAATGTTACAGCAGTTTATAAGAACGATGACGAAGCGGAAAAAGAAAACTATCGCCCTATTTCCATACTTTGTATCCATGCAAAAATATTGGAAACTTGTGTTACGAAAACAACGATTAACCATCTTGAGGTCCACAACCTCAGCAGTAACTACCAATGGGCACATAAAAAAAGCCACTCTACAGAGATGTTGTTAATAAAAATGACTGAAACATGGAGACGAGCCCTTGACAACAAATAAGTCGTGGGTATAATCTTTATCGATTTTAAGAAGGCCTTCAACTCATTTGTCATCATATCCTGTTACAGAAACTACAAGCTTTAGGAATAAGTGGGGATATCTCGCTCTGGATAAAAGATTATCTCCAGGACAGGAAAATGTCAACGATTGTAAATGGGTCAAAATCGAATTCATGTCAAGTTAAATTTGGAATACCGCAGGGGTCGGTTTTAGAGCCGATCCTCTTTTCAGTGTTTTGTAATGATCTTCCTGAAATTATGCAAATCGATGATGGAGAGATTGAAATGTTTGCTGATGATACCACCATATATGTGATTGGACCAAACCCCGATAGTGTTGCAAGTATCCTCAATGAAATGTTACGGAAATTGGTGTTTGAAGAACTTATTGATGGTTCACACTGGAAAAACAGAATATATGCTGTTGGAGTGTGCCCGGTTCATCGGTCCATTGCAGCAAATCAAACTTGATGAGTCTGTCATTAAATTGGTTAACACAAAAATATGTCTAGGTTTAAAATTGGATTCCGGCCTCATATGGGACGTTCATGCCTTGGAAGTAGTTGAATGGTTCAATAAGAAACTAAAACTGCGTAAATCGTTTCATTTTCTACCTCTGCAAGCACGTCTGGACTTCTATTTTAAGGTTATTCTGCCATCAATAACTTACGGAATTTTAATCTGGGGATCCGTTGGAAAAACGATATTTGACAATTTGGAAAGAATTCACATCAGGGCAGCACGACTAATCTACCAGTATGCCTGGGACATACCCAGGGGCGCAAATGACGGGGGTGTGGGGGTGTGACCCCCCTCCAATATTTAAACATTCGGTCCTGATGGTTATTATAAAGTCTGTCCCAAAACAAAGCCAGAGCCCGTTTTATGCGCGATCCAAAAGGCGCGATGGGAGGCTATGGTTAAATCACCGATTTGTATGGAACATTACGGTAATTATAGTTCGACAAAACATCTCTAACGTTTACTATATTTTGCATGCGTGCTATTTTGTCGGAACCAATTGCGAGCAGTTATATCTACACACGAGGCATAGGTGTACAGGAAGGAAAAAATTAGGGGGCAGAAAGAAATTTGCCCGACTTGTCAAACAAAATTTTCCGTGCAAACCTTTCGTCAGAAAGTGAAGGATAAAGATATAGAGGGGGCACTTCAGCTGAGGAATCTTTCTGTCACTCGTGGGTTGCTTGCTCAGAGTCAATTGTGGCAGTGTACTGCCCATATCTAAGGCAGTTGAGTTAGACGTCTTTCTTTTGAATTACTGATCAACGCCGCATTGCACATACCAGTACTAGCGCAGCAGAGCTTCTATTCAATCGAAAAATTGCCGCCAATGACCCTATGTTCTCAGATGAGGAGGATAATCATGAAAAAGCTATCAACAACGACTCGAAGAAAAAGGAAAAGATAAAACAGTATATATACAGATAAACAGAATCATGCCACGAAAATCAATTTTGAAGTAGGAGATGACGCCTTAGTCCGACAGCAAAAGAAAAATAAACTTTCTACATCTTTCGGTAAAACGCGATACAAAATAACAGAAATAAAAGGAACAATGATCACTGCAACTAGTGAAGATAACATTAACTGCAAACTTACCAGAAATATTTCAACATTTAAACGAATTCTGAAGTCAAAAGTGGAACAGCAAGATCAAAGCATCCATGATCTTGATGATGTTCTGCCTAACATGGAACTGCCGCGTAGGTATCCCAATCGGAACAGAAGGAGTCTGGAATTTTATAAATAGTTCACCGATAAACAGAATTACAAACCTAAACAAAGTTGAGGTACAATTTGTTGAGTTGTTAATTACATATGTTCTCTTCTAAAAAATAAGGGAGGAATGCATTATTGTAACGTGGACAATGTCACATGACAAGAAAAAGGACATGCGTAGGACGGGATGGTAAGGAAATCGGGATTGTATTGTATGGTTCACAATGTATGTTTTGGGTTTAGTTACAAAACAACGACGTTGTAGCTTCCCCCCCCCCCCCGCCTTCCAATGGAGTTGAATTAATTTTTGGAAAATTAGTCTCTGAAATCCTGAATTGGACAGCCCCAGTTGCTATCATATTTTACTGAAATTACAGCATCACTGGCAAGAATTCCCTGAGTATAATGTACCAACAGTCACTCAAATTTTGCGTACGTTTACTGTATGTGCAAATTGTTTACTCAATTTACTTTTAGTAAAATTTCGAATTTATTAAATCTTTTGGGTTTAATTAAGATTTACTTTGCTGAAAAAAGAGAATGAGCTAACTTGCTCATAAATTTGAATAACTTTACTCAATATTATGAGTCACTTTGGGTGAATTATTTTTCGCAAGAATTTTTGAATCAAACTTTTTTGCAGTATTCACTGTTTTACAATATTTAGCTGTGCAATGCAGCTGGTTACGTCATCCTACAAATGGAAGAATAGTTGCATATTCAAGGTACTGCGGAAGAGAACAAACAGAATTTATATGTTTTCCTGGCTATCAGTTAAGAGGTACAAGAAGAATAACTTGTCAGAGTGACGGAAGCTGGTCTGCAGCGAGTCCAACCTGTGTCGGTAAGTTTTAATTTTTAAACGTTTCTTTCAGTTCTAGTTCTGTTTACTTCGATCCCTCTTGGCGACGGTGCACACGTTCCTTTCTCCCGTGTTTCTGTCGAGTTGGGATAACAATTTAATTCCGTGGGTAAGGCCCCATTCACACGTATTCGCATTCATTTGTATCAGTTCCTTGTCCGAATTCGTTTGTACAGGGGCGGACATATCGATTTTGACTGGGAGGGTGTAATCACGAAATGAGACCGACTCACCTCTGAAATGTGAATCCAGACCGACTCTTGGTGAGTTGGTGCGTTGCAATAAAATTGAGTACAAAGCATGGAAATTGATGGCATTTATTAGGAATTTTTCAAGAACACGTACAGTTTGCTGTGAAACGTTATATTTTTATTAAGTGTCTACGCTTAGTCAGGTTTGATCACGGATTATAGCGATTTCGTCAAGATCGATCGTGTCTGTTAGATCGAGCTCACACGCAAAGAGTCGAGAGTTCACCGAGGCGTTCCTGGTTCATTACTGAACGCATAACAGTTTTCACTGATTTCAGCTTTGAAAAGCTGCGCTCGGTTGATGCGGATGTTACAGGAACTTTCAAGCGCGTAACTATAGGATTTTTGATTGACCGAGACACTTCTGGGGGGTCTGGGGGCATGCTCCCTCAGAAAATTTTTTGATTTTCTAAGGCTTAGAAACGCTATTTTCTGCATTCTGGGAGCAGTTCAAACGAAATTTCATAAACAGTGACACAATGATTATAATTTTATACTGTAGTTTTCCCCCAATCCTGAGGCTAAGAATTACATTTTTGGTCAAACATCATTGATCAGGTGCATAATAAAAAAGTGTTTGTGCTCAATTGTTGTAATATTTGGGCGCTGGCCCGCACTTTTGTTATTGGGGTACTTGTGCACCCATACAGCCTCCCATTTCTTACGTCACTGTAGGGCAAGAATAATGCTTCTTTACATAGAGAGAACTATACAGTCTGTCATTGAACTTGAACTCGATTGACTCATATACCTAGTTATGGGCCTGACTGTAAGCAACAATTGGAAGCATCGCCTAGTCAGTGAAAACAATTTTTCGCTCCGTGATTTCAGATAAACCAGTGCGTCGTTCACTGATCGAATTTCTTGATTGCAGTATAGGCACATAAAACTCTTTGGTAACAAAATGCATATGCATATCGCGTTACATGTGAACATACTTCCTAATATAACTCGGCTAGAAATTCGTTTTTGCACTTTACATCTTAAAAATATAGTTTAGGGACCGGAGAAATATTGTAACTAATGTTAGCTATTTTGATCGAGATTCATCGCGTTTTGGAGTCTGATTTTAGGGGGTTGAAATTTTCGCTATCCCACACCCCCCCCACATTTACGCCCCTGCGTTTGTATCCTGCAAACATTTTGTTGCTGATATGCCTTCCGTCCACAAGTACAAAGTCTGAGTTTATTGAGTTTCTTCTCTCATTGGTGATCGGATTTTCCTGCAGACTATTCAGCCCATATCAGCCCTTCAATGATGTCAATGTAAAGGTAGCACTTTTTCCTCAGTTATTTTAAGACCTTGAGTAGAGGTCCGACCAAGGATTGAACCCGGTTTCCCGCGTGCTTGAGAGGCAAGCGTATTGACCACGATACCACAAGTACTAGTCCTAATGATTACACTGGGCCAATTGGAACTTGAAGGAGCGTTAATGAGGAGAAATTTTATGCAAACTGATTATGACCTTGGAAGTGGTCACACTGGTTTAGCCCTTGCTGAATCTAAAAGAGAATTTCTGAAATGGTCTCAAACATAGCGGGCCTAAACTCTAATATAACTGTTTAAATTTTAAAATTAACTGTTTCGAACAGAATTTAATTGTGACAGAATACTGATAGGCAAATCCACTGTATCATATTAGTAAAGCATGGGTTATCCATCAGGAAAGAACAGAAGGGGCGTTTGCTCCCTCCCCCGCCTCCCACTCGGGCGTCCCTTGTTCCGAAAGCACGATTAGAACTAACCCTGGGTAAAAATTTTAACCTGCTGTTTTAGTTTGTGTTTATTTCAAAACTTTAGAGAAGTAAACTCTCATTGATCCAGACAAGATCTCTGAAGAAATATATTTCCAAATTTATAGACAAGCTGTCAGGAAGTCGAGGTGTATAGACGAAGAACGACAGAATAATTTTTCAATATAGTCACAATTAACGAAGTCACGAGGTTATGAATGTATATTGTGTTGTAGACGATTAAATAACAGAATAGTATACTTTGATCTGTATACCTGAAATTTTAAATATAATAGTAAATTTGCGCAAACAAGAAGCGTTTTCAGGTTGTGTATAGTTTGAATACATGTATTGTAGGTGGTTTCGCCGAGTACTATCATGATGCAACAGATGTTTGTTAACTGGCGGTTACCAAAGTGTTTTAAAAATAATGTTAGTAATTTCCATTTTACCAAGTGATCATGCATATACTGTTATAACTAAATGGAATAACCGAAGGTGTATCACTCTAAAAAATCTCGTACACCTCGAAAAAAATCCCTAATAAATTGCCCCAAATCCTTAAAAATCCTTATAAAATCTCAAAACCCCCTACAAATCTCAAAAAATCTCCACGATCCCCCAATAATTTCAAGACATCTCGAACTGGATGACTCTTAAAACTCTCAACGGATTTTCGAAATTCTAAAATTCTCGTACACTTTTTCGAGTGAATATAAATTACCACGGAATAAACAAGGAATTTGCTTCAGCGGACACCACGAAACCGAATAGCTTGACATCGAGGGACAATGTAGTCCATTGTAATAAGTAGTTATTATTGCCAACCAGTAAATTCTTCATTCTCCCTTTTATACTAATTCCAATCTTTTACTATTTCTGGAATCTCTGCATATAATTGTTTATCCGTAATTTATTTGTTTGTAAATATAGCGCCTCATATTTCCGTCTTTCGTTCCAGTTGATTACGACTGGTCACATCTTCCTATTTCTCCTTACAAGGACGTGAGATAACCTGCGCCGCAGATTCATTATAGAGTCTGCGGCGCCGGTTAGATCTGTGCACGCTTGTGAAGAATTAGTTTGGTTTGACAATCACCCTGAATATCACCACCATAATTTGTATCTTGTTTTCTTTAAATAACTTATATCTCGAGTTTACAAGATGACATTATTATTTGGTGTATTTTTTCTTATAATATTATTACCAAAAGAAAATCCAGATCTTCTTTGGGAAGACTGTTATGTCGATCTTACAAGATCAGGGGAAAACAAGTAAACAACCCAGTAAACCACACATTGCAGAATAATATTGTCCAGCCTCCTGTAATGCAAGAGAGCTAGAACCTGTGGAATTGGATAACTGATAATTTCCCAATTGATTTAGTGGTCTTCTTAGTGGCCAGAACTTAACATTCAGACTTTGTATTATATTATATTATATTATATTATCCCCGACCCGACGGCGCGAAGCGCCGTGCGAGGGTACTAATCCCCCCGGCTATTTACACCCGGGGAAACGAAAGCATTAGCGAAGTCTAAAGTTCATCAATTATCGCGGGCGTGGGTCACCAACGATGGGTGGTCATCCTCACTGATCTCAAAAATATGGCGGACTGTTATGAATAGCGGACACTGATAGCTCCAATTTAAAGTTTGCATTATGACGACAGCGAAATAGCAAACATTTCTTGATTTGATGATTGTCAGATTGATAAATTTCTTGCAAATATATTTCATTTTTGCTCGCATTTTTGCACGATTTTGTAAATTTCAAAAGCTTTCTCCGAAAGAAAGGGCGAAAGAATCGGCTAAAAGAAGGGAGCCGACGTTAACGAAGGTAAGTTTGTTTTAAATATTGAATTTATAGCTTTAAAACCCGACGGCCTTTGCGTATATGAAACAACTAAACAAGACAGCATATAATTTCAGTGTATCTTTAATATTGATTCCCTTTTTTATTATATTGAATTTTTTAAATGAAAAAGAAAGCAAAGTTATTTGCATGCGAGAATTTGAAATCATTTTATTGCAAACTCAAAGTTTATGGATAAAGCCATTTAATTAAAGGCTGTTTAGTTTTATAAAGAACACTTTAAAACGTTTTGCGAGGCGTTTGTGGTTGAATTTTACCTTAAATTGAAGCTTATATTACGTATAACATGCCTAACATATATATGTTGGGAAATTGATAATTTTGTAATTAAAAGTGATATTTTTAGGCGATTTTTCATTTGTATGAATATTCTTAAAAAATTATCGTGTTACCATGACAACTACTTTAGATACTTCATGTTCGGAAAATACAATGGTTTTGTCAGCAAGGCGAGGGTTTTCTGCATGCATGTATTTTCTAGTATATATATATATATATATATATATATATATATATATATATATATATATATATATATATATATATATATATATATATATATATATATATATATATATATATATATATATATATATATATATATAGTTTCACGATCGTGAAACTCAGAGTAGCGAAAAAACATTGTTATTTTAATATATATATATATATATATATATATATATATATATAGCTTAAGATTTTGGTTTACGAAACACAAACAGTGCTCAATACCATATAGATAGAGCGTAATATAGTTTTTCGTTTTACCTCAAAAAACCACATGAAACAGACTGTTGTGGTTTTTTGAGGTAAAACGAAAAACTATATATATATATATATATATATATATATATATATATATATATATATATATATATATATATATATATATATATATATATATATATATATATACTGCTGAACGCGCGACTCACTGACAGAATGATTTCAGTGATTTACCTACATAACCGATCGACAACTAATAGGCTAGCTAACCGAACGGCCGGCAATTAAATGACTGACTTCATGACTGATTGAAAAACCGACGAACCGATGACCGAGTAACATACCTTTCTTTTGCAAATTTTCTTTCCTATCATAACACACAGTCACGCTCAAGAGAGTCTTAAGCAGGCAAAACGTTTCAAGATTTCTTAAAACTAACTGCATGCCCTGTATCGA